TGTGACCTGCAACAGTGCAACACCGCCCCTACGGTCATACGGTGGTCACATAATATGACGTCACTACGGATACTCGACTTTACATTTTTAACCTCGATAGATGTCCTAGCAATCGATGTGTAGATTACTCGAGTACTCTGTTAATGCCCTAATCAGTACTTCATCTGTCGTTGCATGAGTCATGGAGCAGGTAGAGACGAGCAGAAGTCTTTGTGCAGGCTAGGCTCATGGCTAGCCAAACGAGGCTCCTCGTTAAGTGTTTCTCACAAATGGTGCATCCATGTGAGCCAACGCTACATTTTCTAATAACAAACTTCTCTGTTTTTTTTTTGCTGGACAGTGTTTTAGTTTGTTGCTGATTGCTCAGCTAAAAGTCTGAGTTACACCTGAATGTATGAGCGCTGACCACAGTCTGTCAGTTGATGTTCAAGTCTCATACAAATATAGTTTTTGAGAAAAGTTTGTTTTAAAATCCTGAAAAACAGCATTTTTTAAATTTACTTATTTAATCTTTATATTATTATTATTTATACAGGTAGTCTCGTTGAGTCACGAGGACTCATTTTCAAGAGACCTGATTGGGAGCAGATGGTGGTGGTTGAGGGCCTTGCTCAAGGGCCCAGAGTGGGGCAAGTGAGGGTGGAGGCAGGTGTGGGTGCTTCACCTTTTCCACTCACAGTTTGATTTTTTTGGTCCGTGAAGTCAAACCGGCGACCGTCCGAGCACAGGCCCACCTTCTCTAACCGCTGCTCCACCACTCTCCTTAGTAAATAAAAACAGGTTTGGCTAGCCTTTAGCTTAGCCTGGACAACAACTTCTGTCCTTTTCATCAAACTGTGCTTCATGACTGATGTCACAGACACTAACTGTTTTTATGTTTTTGACAGAACATCATTTCCAAAATGACCAGACTGTCCCTTTAATGTGACTCCCTTGACAGAAGGTCCTTCCCGTTATGTTTCAGGCCTCTAGTGAGACCAGTTCCAAACGCCGCCGTAAACTCCACGCGTGACCTCGTTAGCACCAAAGACTGTTGAACAAACAGCACTGTGCTCCGTCACAGGAACTGTTGAAATGTTTTTATGATCTACATTTTATTTGCTCTCTGATTTTGCTCAATAACAGAACTTTTGCTCTGAATGGTTCTGGTTCTGGGTGGTGGGGCGACATGCCGAGGCAGGACTGTGCGGCTGCACCTACTAGCCAAAGACCTTGTTGATTTCGTATGATTGGGTTTTGTATGATTATTCTAACTGTCAGTGCTGAGTGTTTTATTTTGGCGGGGGGAGATAAATGTGTATAGTTATTTCATGTTATAACTGAGCTATTCAAGTAAAAAAAACGTCACGGGGACAAATGTTTTAACGTTTAATGAAACAAAAATCACATTTATGTGTCTTTTTAAGAGCGACACAATAAGTGTGTGCTGAGATCTTTGTGTACAAGCCAAGTCTACTGTTGGTTTATTTACAGATACACTCCTGTCCTGACTTACTCCATGTGCAGAACCAATGTATAACTATGCCAACACACTAAAAAGATACTTATAATTAGAAAAAATAAAAAGTTAATAAAATATGAGATGTTGCTGAGTGACTTCCTTCATGTTCCTGATCTGACAAACTTTGATGAAGAATTTTCCTAAACAGGTGAAAAAAGCACGCATCAGCAAAGTCTGCTGGAATGGGTGCTGCATCTAAAAGTAGTAAAATGAAGAACATTGAGGGGGTCCGCTAACCAAACACAGATCCCGTTGATTAGTTTTATTGGTGAGTGAGGGGGTCACCACCATTGTGCAAACCAGATGACTTCTGGAACTTTGGACAAACTGAACCAATAAGGGGAAACCTTGCATAGCAGCAAGTTTAGCAAAAATCTAAAACACATCCACATCCATAAAAACATGATGGTTTGGGCGACATGACCATGCATTCCAAACTGGGTCATATGAGAAGACAGAGGTGTCAGCAGAATAAATATCCTGATGCATGCTCAATAATCCAGGCAGATTAATCTAACAAGGTAATGTCAAGTCCTCTGGATGGATTCTTCTTGTTGAAATTCTACTCTAGACTCAAATAAATCTGAAGGCCAGATGAACTTCCACCTTATTTCTTAAGGCTGGCTGCTCATATCATCACAGTCCCTGTGACCCACATCTTCAATCTCTCCATAAGACAAAACTCCATCCCAGACACTTGAAAAACAGCCTTTGTTCTTCCTTCGCTGAAGGCAGGTGACCCCACCTCACTGAACAACTATGGACCAATCTCTAAACTCT